GAAATATGAGCTATTATTAAGAGAGATGAATTTTTTTTTCTGGCCTAGATCACAATAACCTTCTTCATGACCAGTCTTATCACATCTGTTACATTTATTATTGTTGTATGTACAATTCTTTGCATAATACAATCCGCCACAAAACCAACATGGTTTCTTGGGAAATGATTGTATTGGAACTGATTTTGAGTCATCTTGTATATGAGACGGTATGTTCCTGCCTTGTATACTATAGCCAGAATTATTTCTGAACTGATTCCCATACTGACGAGATTGTTGTTGAAAATGCTTCTGATTTCAGCACTGACAATGACATTATTTTCAGTATATTTCTCATTTTCAACCATGAAACTGTCTTTTTTCAGGTTTGATACCCTTTGGCATTCTGTTACCAAATCATGGATTGTTACTTTTTCTGTATCATCACCCTCAACCTTCGAGAGTAGCTTGGTACGAATATCTGCATCCTTGCTCGAATGGAGACCACATATGAAGATCAGACATCTGAACTGATCCGGCGTAATCTGATTAATCCAAAAGTCCTCACAATATTTATTAACTTTGGAGGCAGAGGAAAAGAAATCCTCTGAATCACTTTTAACAAGTTGCATACACTGATATCTAGTATTGAATACTGACATTCTGTTACCGCTTGAGCTTCAGAATAATGTCTTCAAAATTCATGTCTTTGATTTCTTGGGGAAGAATGACAGGTAGTAACTATTTTTAAGTATTCGTAATAAAGAAAAAAGCCAGAGCGGTTTCAGAGATATTGGGGAATAACTGATTTTTTTGTTAAATTTCAACATCCTGTATCTCAGAAACGAAGCTGTTACGCGGACCTATGTTCACATGAAGAATTTTTCTCAAAATCATTCAAGGATTATCGCCCTTTAGGATCAGCATTCAATTATGAAACACCCTGTATATTATCCATTTCAATACTCAACATATGGGTAAGTTATATTTTCATATCATAATACATCATATTACTATCAACAGATTTGAGAGATTATCAATTCTCAATCTCAGAGGATTTTTGTTTTTCATGCTCTCCTTCTGGATGTTCAACAGATATAATTCAATGTTCTACGTTGCAAATAGTCAGGAAAGTAGTTATTTTCTGTTGAATATTCAGAATGATATTATGTGCATTCACATATATTTTTCTGAAGTGGTATCCTAATTCTCTACTTCAGTAGATTTTGTTTTTTGAATTCTTATCTTGTGTGTTCAATAGATATGATTCAATGTTTGTCCTTGCATATACCCAGGAAGGTAGTTGTTTTCTGTTGAACGAACTGAGACAGAATTGATATTTTCATCACATTGAGAATGCGAATTCTCAATGTATTCATTTATATATAAGTATTTCATTTTTTTATGTTCATAATATTTCATCTGAGAATATCCCTTTTCAATACTTTCACCCAATCAAGGCGTTCAAACTTGATCGATGGAAAGTTGTTATTATTCAAGACCTTCAATCGCAGATTCGTGATCATCAGGTTTTCTCAATTCAGAATTCCTTTCCACGTCCTGTATGATGAATATCAATATGTCATACTTAAAAAAAAACAATAACATTGCTTATTCTTTTAGTTGTCATGGATGGAACTTGAAATCCACTTCTAAAACCCGATGAGTATAAAAATGATGAAATAAATTGAAAATCTCCCAGTAGATCGAACTTTTTCAATTACCTTTTTTCTCAGTGTCACCAAATATCGATTGATTTTCCTGATTTTGAAATTACAAGCTCAATGACATTGTGGGGCAAATCATCTGATTTGTATAACTTGCATATTGTATATTTCTATTTTTAGTTCATAAAGACGAAGAAAGATTATCTCAAAACACGGTGTCTGGCGGTCTGAGCCCTCTTATTTGCTAGACAGTCGTTCAAGATACCAAGTTGCTGTCGGTTCGAATGCGGCTCGGCTGAGTATTTTTCTCAAAAATATATGATTTTTTATTGTAATACTTTCAGCACCATGACACCCTAGAAGTGGTTCCGAATTCACTATGAGCTGTGAGTCCAGCTCTTCTTGAACCCCGCATAAGTATATAATAATAAACTTATACAAATATTGCAAAATATTTGCAAATTTTGAGGAATTGATATTACACGTTCTGAAATAACCAAAAGAGTATAAGGAATATGCAGTCTCTCGAATAAATCATCATGTGTGGTAACAGACCTCGAAATATTTCCATACCAAAATTCGTTTTTGTTGCAAATTATGAGCCAATCCGCTTCTTAAAGTTGTTGAAAAGTTCGGAATGATATCGATATCGATGACGAAATATTGCTACGAAAACCGACAACCTCGCCACAAGTCGCAACTTATTGTTGACTTATTTGCAAATTGTCGTACGAAAGTATTATCATTCGAAATATCCCTAGTAGTATCAACTTGCCAATAATAAGTGAACAATGGTTAAGTATAACAATTTCCCACCATGGCAGAATGACATGGCAATGGGGTCGATTCTGTTCGGATCTTGTTATAGCATTGCTTAGATATATTGTTATGATCATACCATATTACAATATTCTGTATTCTATTCGCACAGTAGCTGCTAGATCGGTTATGATTTCGAGTAATAACAATATTGTTGAAAAATAGAGAATTTGTTGGCTGACAACAGTGTTTTTAACTCATTTGTTGTGTTAGGTACCGATATTACCATCATTTTATGAAGAAGTAGAGTTTATGATTAGCTAACCTCTCAAGTCTGTCCCGTACTGAAATTTTTGAATTCATATTATTCATTCTACTTTTCTATTAGCCTGAAAGAAAAATCCAGTAGTTTGTCAGTGACACTTTGTTTGAAAAAATGTTTGAAGGAGAGAAATATAGATATATTGAAGAAATATTGAATTTTTACTTATCTTTGGACGTTTTGGGAACCAATCTGCTCCCGTTCTCAGAATGGAAATGCGAAATATTTTTCTTTGGAATTTGTGCTCTGCTTATAGTTTGACACTTCTCAGTGTCATACTGATGTTGGCATATGAATGGTGTGGTCTTGAAATTACAAGTAGTTTTTGAAAAATTATTCATACACGACGCTGGAGATTGTCTCACGTTTGTTTCCTAGAATTCAAAGTTTTCTTACTGATATAACCCTGCAACAATATACAGGAATTTGTAATTTAGTTTGAAGTATCAATGATAATCTGAAATTCCGAAACAAAATTTCAGGATTAAAATGTGCGACTTTGCTTTTAGGCTCCCAGTTTCATCATCTGATGATTTGTCTCAATACAAATATTTTGAAATAATACGCATATTCTTATTTAATAGAAACGAGGAGAGAAAATCCCAAAAACTCAAGTGAAATGAATGTACTACCTCCTCGATTAACCTACAGACAGTGTCTATATTATTCAAATTGACAGATTGTGTGTATTATAGGTTAATTTGGTCGCCGTTGTGCAAGTGGTGCAAGTGATCAGTCATCAGGTCCCGATATAAGAAAACAAGCAAGAGGCGGAAGAAAATGATAGAGATTTATGGTTTTGGAAAATAACCTGATTCATATCAGAAACGCTCACGTTTTGCTGACTTATTCAAGCGGAAAAGTTGATGATATCCACCAGACAACTCAAATGGATTGCTAGTGTCTCTGATGATAATGCCGACATTATAGTCTCATAACTCCTCTACAAATTGAATCTTTATTAAGAGAGATTTTCAAAGTAGTTGGTTACACAAGTGAACATCATATATGTTTACAATCATCTATTTTCTGAATTTTCAATAATTCATCTACAAATTGAAACTTCAAGGAGAGATTTTTAAGAAGTTTAACAAGTGAACTTCTCATATGTTTATAATCAATCACTTTTTGAATTTTCAAACACTTGGGACAAAGAACTACAGATCATATTGCCAAAACACGATGATTATAATTCCACTTTTTTTAATCTTGCTGTGAAAGCAATATCTTTTGCACAACCACATGCTAACAGAATCGACCAGAATGTATCATTGCATATCGGCGATACCTAACCACAAACATTCGGTGAAAAACCGTTAGTAGGTAAATGGACAACCGCCCAAAAATACGTGACTATAGACGATTCCTGAAGACAGATCAAAACCATCCAAAAAGCCCCTGCGTGCTGGCCACAGGTGCTGGCGAGAATTGTTTATCTCTTCCGCTTACACTGAGCCAAGCTATATAACGACTGCCACGCTAGTGGCTCGAGTTCAAGGATTTTTTTAAAATTTTATTCTCAAATATTTTTTCGAAACAAATACTTTTTAAGGAAAATATCCATTTAGGCTGATAGTTAGCTTAGATTGTTCAAAAAAAGTACCTACAAATTGTCACTGACAAGCTAGTGAATTTTTCTTTTAGGCTCTCTGATAGGAAAATTCTTTAAACGCAGTGACATTTTGGGGCAAATCATCTGAATTGTCCTTACTACACGTATATTGAAATAACATTCATATTTTCATTTTATAGAAACGAGGAGAGAAAATCCCAAAAAATTTGGAATAATGATTGAAACTGACAATTGAAAATTGAATATATGGCGGCGGCGCAGCGGCATCATAAAAGTTAGCCCCCGGCATAAGGGAGTATAAATCCGGCACTGAGAGAATCAATCGGTGGCAATTCTGGTGCACACATTTTGAGAATAATAGGTGGGATTTCATCAGGACAGTAAGCCTCATTCGTCTCGAGACTGAAGGTGGATTTATGCAGCAACATTTAACAATTATCAAGTAACATTTATCATTTAACAAGTAGCAATCAAAAGTTCAACTTCCTGTTTTCAATGAGGGTGTTTATGCAGACATTTAACAATTATCAATTAACAAGTAACAAGTAAGTTGACCAACCTTTAACTTTCTTACTTTAATTGAACCAGGTTTTCTTCTAGTGCGCAACTGGTACGCAGATGACCGCGGATTGGTTTAATCGACTGATAGAGAAAGCATGAGATTGGTCAGATCTTGAGCCTGACAGATGTCATCAGATGATGGAAATTAACCTAAAATAAAATATTTTGTTTCTGTACTTTTGTAGTGAGATAGTGGACAGTGTTTTGTTGGGATTCAAGTTTCCAAAGTTTTTACTCAGTTTATTGTGTCATTGTCGGTTGATAATGGATCTAGATGATGCGATTTTAGTTGACATGGTTCGTCAATATTCAGTACTGTATGATAAATCACACAAGGATTTTGAAGACAGAAATATTAAAGAAAATGCATGGAAAACTATTTCCTCAGCCCTCTATGTTGATGGTCAGTATTTTTCACTTTTTATTATAGTATTCATCTGACCGTCTCGGTTTTTTTTTCAGTGAATGTTGCACAGGCGAGATGGACTGTACTGAGAACGAAATATGGTGTTGAGAAGAAAAATTATAAAAAAATGCCTTCTGGGTCTGGGGCAAAGAAAACGTGGCCCTTGCTATCAAGCATGGCTTTTCTTGATAAACACATGACAATGAGGAAGTGAGTGTAACATTTTGATTTTTTTTTTAACTTTTCGAGGTCTGGAACTGACTTGTGCCTTTTATCAATGCAGAACAACAGGAAATATAAGTGCTCCTGACAAACAGTCCCAGCCATCAAGCAGCAATTCCAATTCACAGTCACCTTGGAGTTCTCTTAGTATGATAATAGGAGACAATATAGATTGTATGGAAGGATCCAGGAAAGGATGTAGTAGTAGTCAACAATCCAGTGAATTATCTGACTCAGAAATTCAATTACCTGAGGAGACTGATGGTATGCACTGAATGAATGTCATTTTTTTATCCAATGTTCCTTCATATTATATAATGTTTTTTTTTTAGATGTGGCAGACAAGGAAAACCTTGATGAAACCATCTTGACTGAGCAGAGTCAAAGAAGGGTTTTCACTGAATATAAAAATGAAACCCCACCATTGAAAAAAAAAAGAAAGAAAGCTGAAGAAGCAAATGTGATGATGAAACTATCCTCAACATTCGATAATTTTAATGAATATCTTAAAACAAAATCATGTGCAAAAAATATGGTTCGAGATATGGTTGATGTAGAACATGAATCTGTTATGAGCTTCATGACTTCAATAGGTAATGATCTCTTACTGATTAAGAATAAAAGAATTAGATATTCTGCTAAAAAGGAAATATTGAATATTGTTCAGCAGGCGAGATGCAATGATGCTTCAGAAAATGAGTCTGAAAATGAATAAAATGGTTTATTGGTGATCCATATGCAGTTACACAAATATTTCTGAAATGAGAGATTTCATTTCATTTTATGTCAATGTTCCTGAAGAGAGTGATTATTATTTTATTTCCTTGTACCTATGTCAATGTGCCTGAAGAGACTGATTTTTATTTTGTTTTCTTGTACCTTTGTCTCTATGTCCTTGTACCTGGTATCAGTGATTATTATTATATTATTATTACTGTACAATGTTATGCTTTTAAAGAGTAACATTTTCAGAAGTTTTATTATAAGATTTTATTCAATTTGAAACATAAATAGCATACTGCTACCAGAATGAAATAATAAAACCAGTATTGAATTGAAAAGATATATCAAAGAACCTTGCAAAATACCATGTCAATATTCACAAATGCTAGAATAATAAATTTATTAAAAACAGATTCTAATATAACTCCACTTTCCCTGAAATAACATACCACAGCACTATAGTTTTCGGATGTTCCATTAATTATCTAGGTCCATGAAATTTTCTGGAATAGATCCTTTTAGAACCTTGTCCAATTGCCATGGTAGGCAACCCTGTGGAGATATAAAATATTCACAAAGTGAATTCCTTAGTTCTTGAATGGACTGTTTCGAATTATTTGAACCAACCCTACCAACGCTTCTCAAATTATTCCCCTGTTTCGTACCACTCTGTAAGTGTTGCATATAACCAGTTGGGCAATACTTTCGTTCATTGAGGGGAATTTCAGATTCACTTCTTTGAACGAAGTTGTGAAGGACTACAGTAGCCTTCACAATACTTTCACATGTATCCAGTTCACAGATTAGTGGTCTCCTCAGTATCCTCCACCTGTTTGCGAGGATTCCAAAGGTATTTTCAATCATTCTCCTGCCTCTAGAAAGGCGGTAATTTAATTTTTTTTTTCTGTGCTCAAGTTTTCTCCTGGATATGGCATCATATCATATTCTCTGCTAAGGGAAATGCAGCATCACCATTGAAGAAATAAGGAAATTTGATTTTTGTATCAGGTAGATATTTTGGGGCTGGTATTTTCAATTTCTTTGTAAGTATGGCATTTCCAAACCCTGAAGCTGTGAATACTGCTGAGTCGTGGTTGCCTCCAGCAGCACCAATGTCAACCAAGGTGAATTTGTAAAATGCATCACAACTTGCCATCAAGACAATACTGAAATTTTTTTTATAGTTGAAAAATATGGATCCAGAATGTTTTGGAGCTTGAACAGTAACATGCTTTCCATCAATGGAGCCAAGACAATTAGGAAGATTCCACTTATTAAAAAAATCCTTAGAAATTGCCTTCCATTCCTCAACTGACGGTACTTTCAATTCAGTGGGGGCCAAAACATCCCATAACACATTGGTTGTTTCCCTTATCACAACTGGAACAGTAGTATGCCCCAAATAGTGCCCAGTTGCAATCTCTTTCATTGAACAACCCTCGGCAAGAAAACTAAAAGATAATATAACTAGGAATATGTCAATTATCTACAAAAGCCAAGTGTAATTACTGTAAGGTAATAAGCAACCTGTGGACTGGTGGCAAGGGATTTTTTGAAAGATCTTTCTGGAGTCTTGGTCCAAATCGTGATAACAACGTTTCAAATAGTTTGGGAGTCATTCTTGTGTAGCCAAAAAATCCCTCTTGATCTTGCAAATACATTGATTTAATAAGATTATTGAACATCCCTTTTTCATTTCTTTGTCTATTTATGGGCTTGACAGCCCATCTCCTATTCCTTCTCTTTTTCAACATAAAAGAACTGGCAGTTAATATCATGATTGTGATAAAAATAAACTCATTCTCTTTTGAATCCGGAAACATTTCAAATTTCAAAATTTGATCCACTTCTGTGAATTCAAAATTGTAAACAACAAATTTGAAAGGTTATGTTCATGATTTTATTTCGAGCATGTGCGCTTGCGTACTTTTTATTCAGAAATTGTTAATTTGGTATGCATAAATGTCAATATTCCCATCACTTGTTGATTGATAATTGATAAATGTTACTTGATAATTGTTAAATGTTGCTGCATAAATCCACCTTAAGCATTATACGTCTGATAGTGCGTTGCTTTCTTAAATTAAATGTATATTATTATAAAAAGCCGAGTTAGGTTATATTTTTTTGAAAAGACAGCCTCTTCATATGCAAAAAAAAATTCCTTCCTTATACTATGAATATTTTAGATATTTTCACCACCAAGTAACCAGGACACAATTACAATATATTCTCTATGAAATGGAAATGTTCGTTATTCGCATTTACCGTCAATATCAGTGATTCAACTATTTAACTACTAGGTACACGATGTTAAACATGTAGCCACACGCAGTGCCGGATTTATACTCCCTTACGCCGGGGGCTAACTTTTACGATGCCGCCGCGCCGCCGCCAAATATTAAATTTCAATTGTCAGTTTCAAAATTCAAATAATCCTTTCACTGTTTTTTTTACAGCATATAACAATAACATGAAATCATTATGTACAACGAATCAAATTATATTTACTTCACACGTTAAACATAACAACAAACAACAACTTTTTTTTTTTCAGATGAATACTAAAATACTTTTCTTCATTTTTTTGATGCAAAGTCGTCAATGGCATCAATAAAATTCAGATTTAATAACATGTCACTGTTAATACTTAAAATTGATGAGATATTCAATGTATCCTATACCATGGAGTTCCTAAGGTAGTTTTTCACTCTTTTCAAAGTTGAGAATGACCTTTCACCACTGGCATTACTAATCATCAGGGATAGTAAAAAAATTCTCAGTAATTGCCAATATTCAATGAATAAAGAATTTGTTGTGATTATCCCTGAAACAACGCTTAGTCGTGTTCATATTTCGCTCATCTATTTTTGAGATTCTAACTATTCTTTTTCGCGTATTGAATGTAAAAATATATAGAACTTACCATCCCCGTCTCGAGATCGTGAAGTTCCCGGAGACGGTTCTGTCGGTTCTGATTCTGTCTCATTCGAATTTAGAAAAAAAATGAATTTATTTTAGGGTTTTTCTTGACAACTTCGTCTAACTGTTTTTGTTTATTGATCTTCTGCCGTTTCCAGAATGCACCACCTTCTTTTTCACTCATTTTTTCAAATTTCAGTTACATATACCAATACCAACGACAACCTATTGAATACTGAACTCTGATTTTTTTTTTGTTATTGAGCTTTTGTATTGTAGCGTCCAAGACACAGCTGACGCTAGATTAGTGCATGTTATGATTTTCACAAAAACAGTATCTCAAACAAGTCCTTCCGATGAGGTGCCGACTGCCAGCGGTAGCTAATTGCGTGTTTGCTTCAAAAGGCGACTAAAGAGGCGGCATATAAAAAGCAAGAAGCAATATAATATATTTGTCGCCTCGTCGGTGACGACTATATTACTGCTTGCTTTTTCTCTTTTCTCTATTTCTCTACCGCCCCTTGAAATTCACCGCCGGGGGCTGATAGTCCCATAGCCCCCCCTAAATCCGGCACTGGCCACACGTTTCGAATCGATAACTTGTTTGTCTGATACACTCAAACAAACCTATATTACCTGTATACAAGAAATATAATCCAGTTGAGAATAATTCCCAGATGTGTCAGATTAGGATCGTTTGAATGAGATTGCAACTTCATTTGTGATTCTGAGACCTTGAAATCATTCGGAAAATTGTTGAAAAATAATAAAATTGAAAGCACTATAGCGCGAAAAAAGAGAAAGAAGAGTAAACGAAAGTACACTGCCCATTTTGTCCTTATTTTTTTTTCTAATTGGTCATTTTTCTTTGTTATATTGAGAATTCATACAACCGTCTGAAGTGAAAATCATCAAAATAGTGTACGAAGGTAATCTTATTTGATTTATTAGTCTTTAAAAACGTAGATATAGTATACAGGGGGAGTCAGAATGAGACCATGAAAACTTATCTTGAAGTTGAATGCTTCCATCAAGGTTTGCTTCGAAATGCAATATGTTTGAGAAAAAGGGAATCAAAAGTACGAAATTCTGATTTAACTGTGACCGTGTCAATTTTCTGAAGTCTATGTACACATATACAAATTTAATGCATATATAGGTGATTATACATTCTTGATTTGAATTAATATATCTTTACACTTTATCGATGAGAATTCTCCCAATATCAAATTATATTTTGATTTGATTTGATTTCAAAATATTTATCATCTAGTTTTTCTAGAAATACCCTGAAGAAAATAATCGTATACTATCGAAAACTTGATGATACTTATTGTCAGTAAATTACTTGAAGAATACTGTCATTTTGGTTTTCGAATTAATTTTTCCAATTAAAGCTGATGACTGATCTCATAGGAAATCAAATGGTGAAAATTTGGAAATACCTACTTTCATTCGGATTCCGTGTAAAATAATTATTTACGACAAAGACTCAACTTTTCCTCACAAAACGCATTTGTTAGTCTGAGCTCAGTAGGAATTCTTTGTTTTAGGCACCTTGAAACCGTTATGTCAGCATTCTGTAGATATTATCATATCCCAAGGAATGTACTTCAGTAATAAAAAGCAGACATTCCACTGGCCATGAAAAACCGTTAAAGAGAAGTGATAATAGGCACTGACATTCCATAATTATTACAGGAACTTGAACGGGGCCATAGCGTCATTGAAAAATTCGCAGCTTCATTGATAAAAAATTACACACATTTCATATGCTAATGTTCAAATGATCATATAATAGTATAGCTAGATAATTATCATAATATTCATGATTCAAGTTTCGTTGATTCTATTCACGAATATAAATAGTAGTTGATATGAGACTTATACCGGGTGGCCCATCGAAAAAAAAATTCTCGGACATGTCGATTTCAATTTGGCGGTGGACACATTTTTCCGCAATGATTATTATATTCCAAAGTTGAAACCTTGAAGCCAAACGGGCATCAACTTTTAATTTTGAATGATTCTACCTGAACAGCTGATTTAATCAATGTATCACACTTGGGG